TGGAAGGGGCTCTCAGGGCTGGAGTGAGGCTTTGGGAAAATCTCCCTTCCCACCTAAACCCCCAACTGAAGCCAGGTTTGCAGGGCTGGGTGAAAGGAGCTCAGAGCTCCTGGGGATGTTGGTGCCAGTGCCAGGGCGAGGAGCAATGGGCAGGAACTAAAACACAACAATTCCAGCCCGAGCTGAGCAAGAACTTCCTTCCATGGGGGAGCAGAGCCCTGGAGCAGCTGCCCAGGGAGGGGCTGGGGTCTCCCTCTCATGTCACATAGTGGGAAGTTTAGAGTTTAAAGGTTTAGAATATATCAATATATGGAAGGCAAGATGGAAGTTTTAGGGCAGACGTTTCTTTCTTCTTCACCTTCTTCTTCGTGGGTCTAAGTGGGATCTTGTTTAGTTGGGTAGAAAAATCTGCACTGTGGGTCACACTGTGGGATGTTTGGTCATTGGGTCAAAAGTAATAATAATTTAGGTGTTAGTTCTTAATTGGACAGTTTGGGTTTAAAAATCCCTGTAGAAAGAGAGATCCATCACCATTTCACCATTTTTGGCTTGTTTGGAAATGCTGTAGCACTCACTGTAACATAGATAAGAATTAATAAATATCTGAGTTCAAACACGAAATATCATCTCTCGAGCTTTTAATCCCCACTCTGGCAGAAGAGAAAAAAAAGAAGCAAAACCACGAGAGTGTCCCACACAGGGAGGGAAAAGGGACACAGGGACATCAGAGCTGTGCTCCAGGCACTGCCACACCAGGAGCTGCTGGAACAGCACAGGGACCTCAGCCCTCTGGAAGGGTGGGAACCTGAAGGGTGACACAGGAGCTCAGGGCTGGTCCCTGTCCCTGCACGCCCAGGTAGCCGCTGTCACACCCAGCACCCCGACTCTGCCCTGGGGACACTGCAGGGATGTCCAGGAGCGCTTTGGCCCCGCAGTGGCAGCGTGGGGAGGCTCTCACGGGGTCTGTGTGTGACCTGCGAGCCTCACCCTGCCAGGGGCTCCTGGGGAAAGGTTGGGAGCTAAAATAAATCAGGTTTTTCTGTGAACGATTGGTTTCAGGAGGGTCTTGAGGAGGCTGTGGATGCTCACTCTGAACACTCCGATGAAAGGGAAGGGATCCTGCAGCCCCTGCAGGGGCTCTGGCAGCTCCCATCCCATCCCATCCCATCCCATCCCACTGATCCCATCCCATCCCATCCCATCCCATCCCATCCCATCCCATCCCATCCCATCCCACTGATCCCATCCCACTGCACTGGCAGGGAGCAGAGCTGGTGCCCTGCAGAAGAGAAATGTCTCAGTCAGGGCTTTGCAGCAGATTTTGGTCACCTTGGCTTAAAATATTCCAGGCAGAGGCTGAGGAACCCCCCTGCTGAAATGAGATCTGGACAACCTTTCCCTTCCTCTTGGGTTTCCTGGATGCCTCTTGGTTTCTGCCTGAAATGTGTTGATTGAATCGCAGATTTGGGCTGGAAGAGACCCCAGATCCCCCCCAGAGGCCCCCCTGCCATGGCAGGGACACCTCCCACTGTCCCAGTGTCCAACCTGGCCTTGGGCACTGCCAGGGATCCAGGGGCAGCCACAGCTGCTCTGGGCACCCTGTGCCAGCCCTGCCCACCCTGCCAGGGAACAATTCCTGATTCCCAAGATCCCATCCAGCCCTGCCCACCCTGCCAGGGAACAATTCCTGCCCAAAATCGAACGAGAATTTCCCCTGTCTCAGTCTGACCCCTGTCCCTGCCCTTCCCTGTCCCTCCCTCCCTTCCTGCCCCTGGGTGGGGACGAGGAGAGAAATGGAATAGAAAGAAAGGGGAAGTGGGGAAAGAGAAGGGGAAAGTGGGGGGGAGGAAGGAGCCGGGATGTTCGGCCAGGGGCCTGCTCCTCCTGTCGGGACAGGTCGCGATAGACCCGAGAGCGCCTAAAAAAACCCAGGAGAAGGGTGGAGGGAGGGCTCCGTGCGGGTCCCTGGGGCTCCCGGGCTGGAGCCCCGCGGAGCAGATGGGCAAACCCCCCCCGTAACCTTACCCGGCTGGGGCGGGGGAACATATGGGGAGCTCTGGGGGGGCCGCGGCACGGCCCAGATCACCCGCAGGTATCGGTGAGGAGGGGCCCGGGGGGCACAGGCAGTGCCCGGTACGGTTCGGTACCAGCTCGGTACCAGGCTCGGTACCCGCGGAGGATGCGCGGCCCCGACCCGACGGACAGAGGGGATTTGGGGCATGGGGGGAAGGGATGCTGCCCTCGCTGCTTTTGCCAGCGGTGTGGCCGAAACGCCCCCACGGAGGAGCCGTGTCCCCCCGATCCCCCCCTGCCCGTCGGGGCTCCCCGGGGCCACCTGTTAGCGACAGGGCCAGGCCCCTCCGGGGGCGAGCTGGGCAGGCAGACGAGCAGGATTTACCAGCTTCTGGCCACTGCCGACTTTTGCATCTGTCAGGGTGCTAATTATTGCCTTTAATAGAGACAAAGAGCAGCTCCTAATGATGCTCCCTCTAATTCTCACCTGCTCCTGCCCTTCCTCCGCAGCAGCGCTCCCTCGCCGGAGCTGCGCTAATTGGGAAAGCTGCTCTGCTTATCGCGGCTGGGGGGGTACCGGGGGGTGCCGAGGGGTGCCTGGGGGTGCCGGGGGTGCTGGGGGGTGTCGGGCACCGCTAAAGGGGCTCCAGGAGCCCAACCGGCCCGGGGGCTCCATCCCTGGGCAGTTCCTGTCCTGCTGCAGGAGCGCTCGGCTCGGCAGCCGCGGGGGCTCGGTGAGGATGAGGAGGCGATGAGGAAGGCATGGTGTGGGTTTTTCGCCTCTCTCCGGGCCTGCGCGGCCCTTGGCGAGCAGCGGAGCCTGGCAGAAGGTTCCAGGCGTGGGGAGCGTCCCAAGGCGCTGGCACACACCTGCCCCGCTCCGTATTTTGGGATTTCTCCCGCGGCGGGAGGTGTCAGAGGAGGGGGGGTTGTGTCGCAGGGATGGCTTTGAACCCACACCTGAGGTGGCCACGGAGCCTCCCGGGTCAGGGGATGGCACCTGGGCCACGTCCTCGTGTGTCCCCGGGGCTGCGTCCCACGGGCTGTGCTGATGGCACGGGAAGCTCCGCGGGGCTGGGGGCACTCCCAGGATCACTGGGAGGGTGCCGGGCTGGGGGACGCTCCTTCCCCACCCTCCTTGCCCCTCCTGGAGGGGCTCTGGAAGGAAGGAACCGGCCCGGCCCGGCAGGAGCTGCTCGCAGCCCTCGGGGACCCCGGCCCGGCTCCCCGGGACCGCCTCGGCTTGAGGAAAAAAACCCAAACCAAACAAGAACCCCAAACCAAACAAGAAACCCAAACCAGAACCCCAAACCAAACAAGAACCCCAAACCAAACAAGAAATGCCCCGGGTGCGGCCCCGCTCTCACTCCCCGCTCTGTCTGTGCCCTCCGAACCCCCCCGAGCCGTGGGAATTGAGGAGTAATTGTGTATTTGTGCGAGTGCAGAGCAATATTATCTACAATAAATGTCCTGGCCTTTGTGGGGCTGCAGGGAGATGGGAAAGGCGGGGACCCAGCCGGGGCAGGAGCCTCAGCGCATCCCGGAGCCCCCGATCTCCTTTTCCTCGGAAACACCGCAGTCCTTCCCTCGAGCTGTGCAGGAAATATTTCCTGCCCCAATACTCGCGTCCAGAAATGCCAAAATCTCCCCCGGCCACAGACACGAGCGGCTTCGGGAGGGAAAAAAAATCACGGGGTTGTCCCCGAATAATTTTCTTTTCCGTGGATTTTCGTTTGGTGGGTTTTTAGTTGAAGGTCAAATGCGCAGAAGCCATCGCAGTGACAGAACTGCCCAGCGCCAGGCGGAATGGTTCCTCTCCCCGAATTAATATTTAATTAATATTTCGCTTCTGCCAAGCGCTGGATTCGACAGACAGAAATTTTCACGTTACCGACGCGGTAGCGGTCGGTTTTCCCTCGCCGCCCTGATTCTAAATGGAAAAAATCAGGAAAGAGAAAAAACGAGAAACAACGAAAAACCCAAACCCGAACGGTTTCAATTCGCCAGAGAAGCAAACTGACAAAAACTTCGCTAAAGTCAAAGATGCGCCTAAAATATTCCCATCCCTTCCCCGTCTGTCTCCGCCTCCCCGGGACAGCGAGGAAGAGGAAAAGGACATTTATTTAAAATGCTTTTCTTTTTTTTAATTTTTTTTTTATTTTATTTATTTAAAATCTCAACAGTGGATCACTTTTTTTTTTTTTTTTGCAACCAAACAAGTAATAAATATTATTTAGCAACTTTTTTTTCCTTTTTCTTTTTTCTTTTTTGTTTTTTTGTTTGCTTTTTTTTTTCATTTTTTACAAAAATAAACAGATGATAAAATCTCTGCAAGGGGCAGCGATAAGAAAAGTTGTTATTTCAGAAACAAGCCCAAGTTCTCAGTATTGCAACACGGACAGGGTGAAAGTTCCTACACAAGAAAGAGCATTAAAGAGTTCAAACTTTGTTAAAGGTGGCAGGAACGTAAAAAAAAAAAAAAAGAAAAAAACCAAACAAACCCAAACGTGTTATAACGTTTAAAATTAAAACAACCCAACAAACCCCAAGAACCCAAACCAAGGAAATCAAGGCAAACCGACCCCTTTTCACTCATGAGGCTGACACAGAACAAGTGCACGGACGGGAAGCTCAGGCAGAGCGGACTCGCGTCCTTCTCGGTCTATTTACAAATCCCGAAGCGGAGAAAAACCGGGGGGCTGGGGAGAGGGGGAACGGGGGACAGCAGCCCCCCCCCCCAATTCCCGGCTGTTCCCCCCTCAATTCCCGGGGGGATGAGACCCAGGAACGGCTCCAAAGGCTCCGCGTGTCCAAACGAGACGGGCAGCGGGGAGGGAACGGAGGAATTTCCCTCCGCAGTTTTGGTTCCTCCGTTAGCGGCGAGCCCCGGCAGCGCCGCCCTCCCCTCCTCCGGAGTCCTCGGAAAATTCAAAATACAGGAGATGCTCGGGGCTTTGCTCGAGCCGGGGCGTTTGGGGAGCAGGGCAGACCCCGGGCCGGGCTCCATCCCCTCGGCGGCCCCGGGAGCGGAGCGGGGACGGTCCCGCTGCCGCCGGGGGGGAGCGTTTGTAGGTCCTGGAGGTGCCGGGGCCGCCCCGCCCAGGGGCTCATTTGGTGTCGGTGGCTAACCTGGGCAGGCTGGCCGTGCCCATGCCCGAGACGTGGTGGTGCGGCGGGGCCGACACCTGGCACATGCTGCAGGGGCACGGCATCCCCCCCCAGTGCTGGAAGCCGCTGCCCAGCGGGGCGGCGGCGGCGGCGGCGGCGGCGGCGGCCGAGGGCGATTTGAGGAGCCCGTGCGGGGGCCGGATGGAGCTGACGGCTGAGAGGCCGGAGCCGGGCAGGGAGGCGCTGGAGACGGCGGCGGGGGGAAGGATGGGGTGGTGCACGGGGTGCGAGGCCGGGTGGCCCGGGTGGCCGGGCAGCGGCGCCGAGTGCGCGCCCATGCCGCCGGGGCAGGCGGCGGGGTGGAAGCCGGCGTGGTGGCCGCCGTAGATCTCGCTGACCAGGCGCTTCATCTCCTCCAGGGAGTTGGTGAGCATGAGGATGTAGTTGCGCGCCAGGAGGAGCGTGGCGATCTTGGAGAGCTTGCGCACCGACGGGCCGTGCGCGTAGGGCATCACCTCCCGCAGCCCGTCCATGGCGATGTTCAGGTCGTGCATCCTCTTGCGCTCCCGGCTGTTGATCTTCAGCCGCAGCTGCTGCAGCTCCGGCTCCGTCATCTGCTTCTTGTCCTTCTTGGAGGAGGAAGAGGAGGACGAGGAGGAGGACGACGACGAGGACTTGAAGCCCAGCTTGTCCACCACCACCACCCCCGCAGCGCTCATGGCGCTGCGCAGCTCGGCGCTCAGCTCCGGCGGCGAGTCGCTCTGCGTGGAGCTGGACACGGTGCCGCCCGTGAAGCCCCCGCCGCTGCCTTTATTCCTGGCCGTGAGGAAGAGGTCATCGGGCTCCGGGGAGGACGGGCGGCTGGAAACCAGGCTGGCGTCCGAGTCCATGGCCCGGCGGGCGGGGCGGCGGCGCGCACCGGGCAGCCTGCGGGGAGGGGAGAGAGCCCGCGGGCAGCCCCGCGTCAGCGCCCGCCGCAGCTCGCCGGGGCACCGCGCCCGCTCGCCCACCCCGTCGGGCCGGGGAGCGACGGTCCCGGTGGGAGCGGCCCCGCTGCCCGCCCTCCCCTGGCCGGGGGGCGGCTCCCGGCCCGTCCCGTCCCTCCCTCCCCTCGCTGGGCTCCGCGGGGCTCGGGCTCCGCGCGGGCGCGGGGGGCACTCACCGTGCGCGGGGCGGCCGTGGCGAGCGGCGCGCCGGGACGGTAGAGCACGGCAGCAGCGCGCACCTTGCGGCGGAGCCGCGGCCGCTTTATAGCCGCGCCGGGGAGGAACGATGTCACCGGGAGGGAGGGAGGGGGGCTGCGCCAATCCGCGCCGCCGGCGGGGGGACGGCTGATGTCACCGGGGCCGCTCCGGCTCCGTGGGGGGGGGGGGGGGGGGGGGGGGGGGGGGGGAGGGACTTTTGTCAAATCCATAATAAAATGCAACAATGACAGCGCCGGGAACAGCTGTTGGGGGGGCGGGACGAGACGGGGACGGCACCGAACAGCCCCCGGCACGTCGGTGTTCCCCGGTGCCCGGCCCGGCCGCGGCCCCGCCGCACGCACCGGCAGCGCTGCCCCCGCCCGGTGCCCCCTCCTGCCCCCAGCCCGGGCGTTATTGCCCCGCCAGGCGGTGCAAAGAGAGGCGGGGAAAAGCGGGATTTCGGCCTCTCCGTCCCCACGAGCGAATCGCCCCGAGCATCCCCCGCCTCCGGCTCCGTAGAGACCCGGAGAAGTTCTTGGAGCGGCCGCCTAAATCTGTCCCAAAAAAAGCCTTCAGCGAGAAAGGAGCAGGAGAGAAGGGAGAGAAAGAAAGAGTAAAAGACGTTAAGAAGCGAACAAAAAATGACCTTCGGAAATGCCTGCCGCCTTCCTCCCGCCTTCCCGGCTCCCGGCGGGTCCCCTCGCCCCGGCAGCTCCGCGCAACAGGGTCGGAGCTTCCTCGCACTGGGGTAAATCCCCCCGGCCGCCGCCTCCCCGCCGGCCCCCCCGGCCCCTTCGCCTTTGTTGTATTATTTTTACACCCGTGTGTTTCCCAGCTGGCCCGGCAAGCCTCAACCATCCGTTAAATATGTATTTAAAACGTTAAGAAGTGAAGCGTGGAAATGTGTTTCCCAACGGTTGCGGGGCTGATCCGTAACAGGTCAATTAGGAAAATCTGTCCCCGCGACAGCCGGGCCCGCCGCCCGGCGTGTGTCCCCGGCCACCGGGGCCGCGGGGGGGACACCCCGAGCGTGGGGGAGCCGGGGCTGAGCCGCGGAGGTGCGGAGCTCACGGGAGGGGCAGTCCCGTCTGTGCCAAGTTTGTTTTATTATTGCGCCGTGGGGAAGCGGCAGCAGGAGCCGGGCGCTGCCTTCGCTCCGAGCGCCGCGGTGCCGGAGAACAGCACAACAACGAGCACAACGAATTGAGCCTCGCCCGCTTCCCAGGGCCCGGCCTGAGCAGGGGGAACGGGCCCCGGGCAGACCGGGAGGGCCGGTGGGGAGGGGGCGGTCACCCCCAGGGCAGCGGTGCTGGCGTGAGAAGGAGGAAAACGCCGCATCGCTCGTCTCGTGTCTCGCAGGGCTCGGTAATTTTCCTCCCTAAAAGCTGCGGCTTCTCCTTCTCCAAAGGTCGTGCCCGTCAAATGATGGGGGGTCCTGAACTCTGCGCCGGGGAGCGGCTGAGCCCCGCAGGCCGGGCCGGG